AAGATTCCTTCGAAGGGTTTTCTGAGAGCGGAGGGTCAATGAGTGAGGAGGAGGAAGGAAATTTAGTGGACGTGAATAGGGGAACTAAGAGGGTTACTTGGGAGCAGGAATCGGATGAGAAGCGACAGAGGAAGAAGATTCGGGATACACTTACTGCTCCCACAGACAAGGAGGCTTTCATGGGTTTTTCTGGGAGTGATGGGTCTGGGAGTGATGGGGATGACACACTGGATTGGACCAAGGTGCAAGAGGTTCGAGATGTATGTACTCAGCCAACGTCTAGTGACATGTTTGAGGGGCTTTCTGGTGGTGGTGATTGGCAATTGGGAGATACTGTGGATTCTTGGGGAGAGTTAAGTCTTGACAAGAGGTGGAAGAGTTGGAGAGATGGGCGTTGGCATTCAGGTGTAAAGCAAAGTCAGCTGTAAGGGATAACAATGAGGTGGAGGTCAGCTGATCATCGGATGATGAGGTGTAAGATATAAGTCAGTACTGAAATGGAAGATCTTTGCAGAAGGCAAAGTGTTGATTTTGTGCCTTGGGTTTTGTCGCTGCCGCTTTCGTGTTGGGTTTGGGTCCTGGATCTGCAGGTTGCTGCTTCCATTCATGGATTTCCCTTTCCTTGACTTCGGACTGCTTTTGACGACGACGCTGCCTACGTGGACTTTGGAACTTCACAACTTCGGACTTGGCTTTTTTCAACCTTGGACTTCATTTGACAATGGTTCTTGCTTCACGGCTCTTTGTTTGTTCGTCCTTTATTCGCTGTGTTGTTTTGCATGACTTTGGAAGCAATTCAGTTTAATCCAGATCTTTTTTCTGGATAATCCGGATTATTGCTTTAGTTTGTTTTTTAAGCTGGAACTTGCTGCTACTTTTAAGTTTTGACCAGGGACACTGAAGTAAGTGTCTCTGAGTCCTTTTGCTTTGTATTAATAAACTATACTTTTGGACATACTCTTGAGTCTGGCTCTTTAAGGCGTCTGGGTTCCGACACAGATATTCTAGAAATCTGTGCCATAGCTAAGATGCTCCTTTCTATGGCTACATCTGTGAAGCAAAATGCCAAGCTTCTGTGTAGCTGAAATTTCTACTGTAATGTTTCCTGACATCCTCTAACGAGATTGAATGAAGATCAGCCCCATTTTAAATGTCAGAATCTGCACATTATAGGTGCAGCTGATAAAAATATGCCCATTTGAAAGTACATCGAGAAATGAGCACATCTGAAATGTGCACAAGAAAGAACAAAGCAAAAGCACCTTTCAACCAATGGAGAGAATGTCCACAAACAACATAGGCAACTTAAAAGTAGGTCTCAAAAACCCACTTTAGAAAATTGAAACGGATTTCAGATAACTAAAATGCAACAATAGGGAAGCAGCACAGACTGGGACCGAGTTCGGAAAAGGAGGAAGTTCTGAAATGCATTTTTCACAGATGTTCGTATCACTACCGCTGTCTAATTTTTGAAGATAGGATAATTAGAGAACTGTCTTTCACGTGATCATAAAGTTCAGACAAGCTCATGTGAGGGAGGCAGAGAACACAAATCCCATGCTATTTAGATCTTTACTTGAACACTTCAGGTCTGTGAATTGTGTCTGTGTGGAAAACCGAGGATAGTGGACAACGACAGTTAGAGAAGTACCATCTTCATGTGAGCAATAAAGAATTTGAGATCTTTCCCTCATCCACTCCTCTGGAGCACCACACATTTCACTATGGATGCAAAACTCTTCACATGTTGTATCTTTTTAAGTTAATCAGTATTAATATAGCCTATACATACTTGATTTATGGACTGAGAATCATATCTAAGCCCCTTCACACACACACATTCATACAGACATACATACACTCCTTATGAACTCTAGGAAGCTCTCACAACTGAAGTTGATGCCAGAAATTATTCATTTGTATTATCATTTCCATGTCAGCTACTTTTTAGAAGATGAAAATACATCATAGTAATGAAGCAAAGTTACTTTAATTTGGAAAGAAGAAGTTAACTTTTGCTGTGCTTTACATATAAAAAAAGATCAAAGAAAGAAAAGGATTGAGATTCAAATTCAAATTTTAAGCAAAAATGACAATGTCTTCACGAGTTAATATTAATCCCTTAATTATGAATTTCAAAGGTTTAAATACTTTCTCTGACCTTGGCTTTAAATAATTATGCCAAGTGCAGCTTTCTTTAAATTCAAAAAAGATCCTGAATTGTTGATCACAGCCATTTAATGGCTTCAGGCTGGCAGATTTCCAACATAATCCTTAGAATGCTATTCAAAATTATAGACCAAGAACCTGATGCAGGTAAATGAAATGTCAGTTTCACAAAGGCTGTTCCAACTCAATATGCAAATTACTCCATATTGTTGCTACATCTAATCTTGTAATAAATTGCAGACTGAGCTTTAATACATGCTAAAACACTTAAAACACCTGGATGTTGACCAGTGGAGAGAAGTATTTTGAGACATTCCTGTGGAGTTTAATACTGAATATATATCTATATATCTATATCTATATCTATATATATCAGTTCATCTCAATATCAGAGATGTCAAATTCAGATGCTGCATCACGAGTAGAATGTGGTTGCAGCAGCCGGCAAAAAGATCATAAAATACAATAAACCCAACCTTTTTTTTACATAAGAATGTGGTGCAGACTTCTGATCCTAAAATCTACATATAGGAAACACGTATTATTATACAATGCACATATAAGTACTAGAAACAGGCTTGATGGACAAGACAAGCTCACAGTGAGATCCTTTTTGATACAAACATCTATTTTTGCCATATTAACTATCTACTTACTTATCATTTCCTTTAGGCCAGAATAAGAAAAGTGAGGAAGTACACAGCCAACTCTAGCAGCTCCCTTTCCTGTCTCTATCCCAGTTGCTCTCCTTCTCCTTTTAGGCCAGTAAGAGAGGCAGCACAAACCAGTAAGTACCTCCTTGCTGCCTCCAGCACTTATGGCACCACCATTATGGCAAGGTAGCCCAATATTAATTCAGTTCACATTCTTGAGCAAAGGATATTATGGACTGAAAAAGATTTCTGTATAGAACTGGGAACAGCAGCTAACAGTCAGCAGAGACAATTCTCAGTTGTACTGATCAGTGAAGTGACTTATCAAACAGATTCCTGTGTGGCACCTCATAATCTCTCCCTAAGGTCAGAGACAAAAAGAAAAGGCTGTCGTCTTCCCTTTGACATAAATATCCTGTCCAATGTCACACCCGGAGCCACCTTCAACTGATCACTGTTCTTGCTGTAGTGTGTACTCTTTGAATGTATCAGAGACCTAAATGGTTCCAGGCATTTGGACATCTATTTGTTCTTATTTTGGGAATAGTGAGCTCCTCAGGTTGATTTCCATTAGGGAAATCATGTGTACCTATTCCTCTTGCCTTTGCAACATTATGTAAATCACCAATCACCCATATTACCACTGTGATACCAGTTCAATTACACTGTATTATGACCGGAGAGCCTCTGTCCTCCTGTTCTTATAAACTGGCTCAGAAGTTCAAAAGGAGATATGTGGTTCCGTTTTCCCATTATTCTGATTATTCCCATTATTCTGATTTATTTAATACCTTGCTTTTTCTCTCCACCAGGAGACTCAAAGTGGCTTATAGTAAAAGAACTTCCATACAAATTAAAATCTACAAATATCTATATAAATAAAAATGTAATGTTCGTTTGTGGGATTAACATAACTAAAAAACCACTTGATGAATTGCCACCAAATTTGGCCACAAGACACCTACTAACCCAAGGAGTGACCATCACACAAAAAATTAAATTTGTCATTTGCGAGTTGTAGTTGCTGGGATTTATAATTACCCTACAATCAGAGAGCATTCTAAACTCCATCAATGATGGAATTGAACCCAACGTGGCACACAGGACTCCCATGACCAACAAAAAACACTTGAAGCATTTGGGGGGGGGGGCATTGACCTTGAGTTTGGAAGTTGTAGTTCACCTACATCCTGAGAGCACTGTGGACTCAAACAATGATGGATCTCGACCAAACTTGGCATGAATACTCAATATGCTCAAATATGAACACAGCTGGAGTTTGGGGGAAATAGACCTTGACATTTGGGAATTGTCTTTACTGGGATTTATAGTTAACCTACAATCAAAGAGCATTCTAAACCCCACCAACGAAAGAATTGGGGTAAACTTCTCTACAAGTGACCATCACTCATAAAAACACTGAAGAAAACAGCAAAAGAGACTTAAAAAGCAAAAAAAACAACAACAAAAAAACATTACAATGAATGCTCAAAGCCACATACATATATACACAAATACACATATACACAAATATATACACACACATATATACACACACAAAACATATACACAGACTGGGCCACAGCAACGCATGGCAAGGGACGGCTAGTACAAACATAAAAAAAGAATTCAATATCATTGGTATTGAAAAAAATCAGTTAAAATTATTCTAAATAGTAGAGAAAACATTCTTTCTGCCCTTCTTCTCTACCAGAGAAGTACCGAACAATTTAGATCTGGCAAAGGATGAATTAACCAGCTGAAAGCCAGGATCTACTTCTCATTTTTAATCCAAGCCACCACTGCAGCTTTTGGAGTGCATGCCTCCTTCATTAAAGACAATTCTATAAGCAGAATAGTCTTTAAAGAGAACTATTGGGCTTTATATGGTTAAGCACTTCGGATGTGTTGGCTTGCATTGGGGTCAGTTATCTTGAAATGGAAAAACACAACATTAGGTCTTGCTTAATTTCCACCCATCTAAAAGAGCTATGAACTTCAAACGAATATTATCAAGGCACATTGCACCAGGACATACAAATTCCTTCTGAGGACTGCAAGTAGTAACTTATCACGCCAAACTTTTCAAAATATACATACAGCTTGCGTTTGATGATTTCCTAGATTTACACAACATTGAACATTAGATTTGTTTGTAGAATTGTCTTTTGTGCTTACCTTTTCCAGCGCCATCTCCTTTTCTACAGCACTTCTCTTTTTTAGGTCCAGCATCATCTTTTCTGACTCAGTTTTTAGGTTGCTCATGGCAGTTTCGTGTTCTCGGAGAACTTTCTGCTTTTCCTCTTCTCTTAGAAGGCTAAGTTCAACCAGCTGCTGTTTTCTTTGTGTATTCACCTGAATTACCTCTTCCCTCAGTGCATGGATCTGGGCTTCCATATCGGAGATGAGCTGTAAAATAAATCAATAAATGGGGAAGTTAGGTTTCCTGCACAAATAAAATGAAAAGCTGAAGTTGAGAACTAATGCACCATAATCCTGGTAGATGGATTTCTTTAAATTATTGAGAAATGTGAGCATATTGAAGCATATGTGCTTTTGAACTCATTCAAAATATAAAGCCTGGCACAGAAAAGACATGTGCTCTAATTAGTGTTGTATTTGTACCTGGACATAAGTTCCTTAAAAAAAGACTTTCTACTGAGTAGTCGCTGTTGTTATCATGTCCAAGTCATTTCTAACTTATGGCAACTCAAAGGTGACTCTAGGACAAAGATTTCTTGGAAAGATTGTTCAGAGAGATGTTTGCCATTACCCAGTGGGCAGTACTGAATTTACCATTATGCTTAAGTGTGCTGGGGGGCCCCATCTTCCTGTCTATTTTTTAAAAAATTTTGCTTATGTAGTACAATTCAACATTTGAAGGTGTTCTATTTTGAAGCAATTTCAGACATCATGACAGAGTTGATAATCTATGGGAGCGAGCCACAAAGCAAGCTGTGTAGGCCTACTGGGCCTACTTCCTACAGAACGCAAGGAAGGGACCTCATACTTTAACTAGCACATGGTTTCATTTGTCCTAATCAGGCACTGCTAAGTGGGAATTTGAACCTGGAATTTCCAGAATCCTAGACTAACAATCAATCCACTACACACTGGTTCTCTCTGCTGAGTAGAGAGGACTACAATCCAGAAACCTATTAATTTACAGAATAAAACAGATCAGCTGCAAAACTACTACTTCAAATTGTCAGGAGATCTTGGAGCAATCTTCTTTAGCAACCTAGTGCTTGGAAACAGACCTATTTTGCTTGGAAGCAAGTTCCACTTATTTCAGTGGAGTCCACTCCCAAGAAAATATGTCTGTAGCCTTCAGGCCTACACTGGAAACAATAGAGATTAAACTGTGGAATGCACAGTTATGATGCAATTCACCTTTATATCTTAGAATAACTTACAGAAAATATTACCAACACACCTCGGACAGCTTTTTGCCATTGTTTAACCATATATAAGCATAGAAATCTACTCCATATCAGTAAATTATGCACCTATTTATTAAAAAGTCACTAATTACTCCATTTGTAAATATTTTAAAAATTGAAGCTCAAATACTTTGGAAGACAGATGGAATTTTCTAAAAGAAGAATTATTGCATTTGTTGTTGTTCACTCGTTCAGTCGTCTCCGACTCTTCGTGACCTCATGGACCAGCCCACGCCAGAGCTCCCTGTCGGCCGTTACCACCCCCAGCTCCTTCAAGGTCAGTCCAGTCACTTCAAGGATGCCATCCATCCATCTTGCCCTTGGTCGGCCCCTCTTCCTTTTGCCTTCCACTTTCCCCAGCATATTTGTCTTCTCTAGGCTTTCCTGTCTCCTCATGATGTGGCCAAAGTACTTCAACTTTGTCTCTAGTATCTTTCCCTCCAGTGAGCAGTCGGGCTTTATTTCCTGGAGGATGGACTGGTTGGATCTTCTCGCAGTCCAAGGCACTCTCAGAACTTTCCTCCAACACCAAAGCTCAAAAGCATCGATCTTCCTTCGCTCAGCCTTCCCTAAGGTCCAGCTCTCACATCCGTAGGTGACTACAGGGAATACCATGGCTTTGACTAGTCGGATCTTTGTTGCCAGTCTGATGTCTCTACTCTTTACTATTTTATCGAGACTGGACATTGCTCTCCTCCCAAGAAGTAAGCGTCTTCTGATTTCCTGGCTACAGTCTGCATCTGCAGTAATCTTTGCACCTAGAAATACAAAGTCTGTCACGGCCTCCACGGTTTCTCCCTCTATTTTCCAGTTGTCAATCATTCTTGTTGCCATAATCTTGGTTTTTTTGACGTTTAGCTGCAACCCGGCTTTTGCATTTACTTATATTAAAATAAGTATGTATTTTTCTCTTCCATTGGGATACAATACTTAAAAAAATAAAGCCATGTAAATATTAAACCTAAATGAAGAGCAATAAACTGAAGCATCAGATTAGGGTGCAATCTAAGTTCCAAACATCCATATTTTGACCACCACTGGTTCACAAACAAGAGTTTTTCAGAATAAGTCCTAGAACTTTATCAGACACACAGAGAGGAGTGTCTTCTCCCTGCTTCTCTTCACTGCTGGAATGGAATCCCATGGAGTCTATCACATGACACAGAGCTACTTCCGGCGGGACTCCATGGGACAGTATTGCGGGAACAGAGAGAAACAGAGCACAGAGGAGAGAAACTGAGCCCACTGAAGAAGGAAAGAGGAAGCGAAGAGGAAGTGGGGACAGATGGAAAAATGATGAGGGAAGAAAGAACACGAACACCAACGGGCGGAAACATAGCCTGACAGTTCCCCCTGTTGTCCCACACTTTCCCCTTCCTCGCCCAATAAGGTTGCTAGAATGTTTTGTGCAGTCTGTTTTGGGAAGATATGGTCTCTTGCATACTGTCACCATAGAGAACAAATATGTTTAAAGAATTCATGGGAATTATAAACTCTAGACTAGATTATCACTATTTTCATCAGCAACCAAATAGACATAATGAGTAAAATATATTTGTGTTGTGCTTTTTGATTGATGTGAATTAAGAAATCCCTATATCTCAAAATACACTAATAAGTGAACTATTTGTGCTGTTAATCACAGGTATTTTCCAACTATGAATACTTAAGATTTATTATATTAGAAAGGTGAAGTGCTATAGAAAAAGATGATACTGAAAAAGGTAATCACAAAGCAATACACTCTATTTCCCCTAGATTAGACTGAGACTCAGAAAACAGTTTCATGACTACAGCTCCTAAGAAATCAAGTGATCATATTTCTTCCTAGTCAATGAAATGAAGTTTACTAATAGAAAGAATGTCTTGTTTATCACTGTTTTAAGTGCACCCCTATCATGCACAATTCAAAAGTGCACCCCTTTCATGCATTATTCAAAAAGGAAACTCCTACAAGCACACTTTGTTGCTTCTGCAGTTGCAAACGCAGACCTGATTGTGAAGTCATACCTTTAAAGCTGGGTTGGTTTATACTGATTTCCAACACTTGGGCACCACTTCAAGGGGGGGAAAAATCTTGGAATGGGAAGAACAAAAAAGGGGTAGCAGGTAAATCTAGGTGTGGGTTTTCAAAAATTATTTCAAAGTCTCTGTTGGCACCTAGAGGGGAAATGAGGAGCAACACCAAATTTCCCTTTATTCAGGACAACAAAACCAACAGATTAGTGTAATTTCACTAACTGGTAAAACTTAGATGTGGCTGATCCACCTAAACTTCAGCATTATGTAGTAAAAAGCACTAAGTCTTGTTCTGTTCAACAGCTTCATTGCTGAACGAAAGAACAAGAAACAGGAAAAATAATGCTTGATGCTTAGCATGAGAGTGATTTTCCCATAGTGGTGGGAGTATATACTCCAATAGGTGATAAATCAGACCAACATAATGTGCCTGAGCCTTCTGCTGTTGAAAGAGGGAAACCTTTGCAAGTCAACTCTAATGAAGACTGTTTCATTCTAAAAAGCCTTTTCATGAGAATGAAAAACTGTCAATGAACATGAAGGTAAAGAAGAAACAGCGGGGGGAACCAAACACCTCCCAGACAACCTAATTTTTTAGAGAAATATTCTGTTCTCTGGAAGAACTGAACATTACAGCAAAGGTAGGCGCTCCATCCATTGCTACTTAAAACCACTGTTTCAAGGTGACTGCCAATGCTTATTTTGCCTATCCTGTTAAAGAATACCCTTCTGATAGACGGGCCAGAATGGTTGTGTCACCTGTCTTGTGAGAGAAATGGATCACAACGAACCTCCAAACCTGGGCCTTTCACTGTATTTCTGGGTTTGCTGGAAAAAAAAAATAGCCTAAGAGAGGAGCTCCAAAAGTCCACCAATTCAGAGAGCATAACTTGTACCAGTGGTGTTCAATGTATTTCTGCTGAAGAATAAGTAACCATTGTAAAGTCTTTCATGAATGTTACAAACCAACTGAGTTGCAGATACATCTACAATGACATTTAGCAACTGCAGTTATGATTTCACATTGCAAAAAAACAAAACAAAAAATGTTGCTACTATCATTATATTTTACTAAACCATTTCAGATATATGTTTCTAAATCTATAATAGTTTGTTTTTCAGTTGACAAGAATGAATGACAACAGAGCAAAAGTGGTTTTTCCAAATTTGACATTTTAAAAACTGTCTCTCTGGTTTATGGGTCAAATGTGCTCCCACAAAGCCTTAGATCAGTGATGGGCAATCTTTTGAGCTTGGTGTGTCAAAATTTGCCAAAAACTTGAGCATAACTTGGGTAGAGTGTCACTTCACGAGAAAAACAACATAATTTTGCAATATTTATAGTTTAAATAAGAAAAATGTATAATCCATGCTGAGTTATGGAGTGAACAATGCTCAAACATGCAGATGTTACATTTGTAGAGCCTTTTACAAATTTAAGGATGGAATTAGATTGGCTCTTATAAGGTGTATTTCTCTGTATGTGGCCACATGTGTCTGTGTGTCATCAAAAATAGCCATGTGTGTCACTGCTGACATGCGTATCATAGGTTCACCATCACAGCCTTAGATAGTCATAAAAATAAAATACATGACTGCTTGCAAGTGGCTTGCACAATTTGCAAGCTTAAAAAAAAAAAGAAATACGTTCATTAAAACTTCTTCCCATTTTCTATAACGTAATATATTTGCACATTACCCAGGTCAGTAACATCTCATAAGGTAACATGCTTAAACCTACAAGAATGGTGTAGATTGTCAAAATCCATCTAAACGAACTCTCAGTTTTGAAAACATAATGTTTAGTAGTGCACTATTAACATACTCATAGTGGAATTAACACAATTACCGAAATATAGTCATGCATTTATCCTGAATTACCTGTAATAACCAGATTTCAGAACTGTTTGAACAAGGCAGACAAAATAGTTATATGAAACATGTTTT